TCATATAAAGTCACAACTCAAATCAAATTAAAAACTCGAATCAACGAACTAAACGATCTCATATATGATACCATTGTCACTGTCGTCGTCGTCATCGTCTGGTCACCTTGTGTTCTAGGCGGAAGAAGAAACTTATACAAACAGGTAATATAGCACAACTACAGTTGAGAGCGGCATTACATATACCATCTAAACTGGCTTAGTAGTAAGATTAAGAAAATCATGTACTGTGAATTACCTCCTCCTTTGTAGAGATTTTACGTGTGATATTAGACGTATATATTTCCTATACATACATGTTTCCGCAACAATGTGCCCCATTTTAACATTTTTCCTCTGCTTTTTTTTCCCCACATATTTAAAAAAACTAAGAGTTGGAGAATTAAGAAATTTATGTTACGATTTGAATTGAGATCTCTTTTTCTTTTTATCAGAAATAAAAAATTTAAAATAAAGCATATTGTAACTTTTCTACATGTTAGGGGGGAGCGGGGAGGCAACAAGTTGAAAGGGCACAAGTGCAAAATACCCAAAAACTGAAATATCAGAATATTTTAAGAGAAATTTTCAAGAATGGCAAAAATAAAAAATAGTTGACTATTTTATTTCTGGCATTATTTTTAAATTTATCATTTATGCCATTAAGATTTTGGCAGATATCTTTCATATTCTATCAGAATAGATTCCATATTCTACTAAAATATTTTTTGACATAAAAAATAAAATGATGAAAAGCAATGGTTATTCTTTTAATTTTCTCACATTTTTTAACATAAGTGAGGATATGATGCATTTGCAACCCGTAATGACGTGAACCAAAATAAGTTGGTAGGTGTGGATTACCATGTAATAAACCACAACATTCTCGTTTGCTTTGTCAAATGAAGCCAACCCCCCACCAATCCCCACCCGACCACAACCAAAAAAAAAAAAGAAAAAAAAAAGGAGAGAGAGAGAGAGCATCATCATTAATGTACATACATTTATCTATTCATTTCTCTAAAAGCCAGAGGAAACCTGTGATTCTTTTTTCTTTTTCTTTTTTTTTTTTTAATGCTCATACACAGTTCCTATACAAACATGTTTTTACAGCAAAAACATTGGCCATATTAATCATTAAGTTAAGGAAACCTATCGAGTAAATACATCTTTGACTGCAAACACTATCTGACATCCTGATTTGTTCCATTGTCGGCCGCAGGGGATTCGGCATAAACTTGTCCTTGGTCTCTCACATCTCTGAAAATGGAAAGAAGAGAGTTGAGGCCTTCAGAAGAAGCCCCTCCCAAGATCCACAGTAATAGAGAACTGAATGAACTCAGAGTCCCAGGGTTAGGGTCATTATCTGTTTGCCTAAGGTCACCGTCTATCCTGTCGGGACCGGCATTTTCTGTTTGTCCTTGAAACCGAGGATCTTCTGCTCCATTTGCAGGCACTGCTTGATCTGATACGGGTCTCAACCCAGGCCCAGTAGCCAAGTCGGAATTAACTAGGCCGGGATTTCTTGTGTTCAATCTTGTGATGTGTAGAGTTGAAGCCAGGATAGTCGAAGAGGTAATCTGGAAATCCGGGTGTTGCTGAAGTTGTGATCGTCGATTTTGCATAAACCTTTGTAGCGCCGGCACCTGCAGTTATTATACACGTCAAGTACATCACCAGGATGTTTTAAAATTTTCTTCTTCTTTCCCCAACACCCTGCACCCCACTCTACCCTCATAAGCACACACAACAAAAAGAACCTATACCCATATCCATTTTTTTTACTTTATTCTTTTTGCACGTAGAATCTCCCATGCTCAAAATAGTCAAACTTTCCACTGCTGATATCCGAGGAATATACTATGTAAAAACCAATGGGGCCTAATAGCCCTACCACATCACAATGCACATTTTTATGGAATTTTGTTAACTTTAAAAATTGACTTCGCACGGCGAGTGCTGCTAGTGTTTTGCTGCATCAATAACCAGTAAATAAGAGGCGGCTTTTATAACCCTAAGAAGCATCGGCAAAGAACATTATCTCTTAACTAATTTGAGAATAACCGGTAAGGATGTTAAAGCCAATTCTTGCATCCAATCATTTCCAATTCCACATAAATCCTAAACACCAAAATGAAAGAAAGAGAGTGAATTATTGGAATTTCTACTCTACCACCAATGAGACAAGACAACACTGGGCAAAGTTCTCCCAAAATAGCAAGCTCAAGGACATTATAGAACACAGCACAATATTACCGTACAGTTACCAGTTTCACTCATTTTCCACCAATAATTGACTCTCACTATTGGTATTGCCTTTTGGTAGAAGCAATGAACACAATCGGAAAAAAGAATGAAAGCTGAGCATTTATTTTTCTTTTGTCAGAAATATTATAGAACTCTCACATTTTCTATCATGTTGACTACCATAAAAAATGATTTAAAAGTTTGATAATGGTTACCTCAAAACGATTCCAGAAGTATAGGATGAGATGATGCATAAAAGCTGCAGTTGTCGAGAGCGCCAAATAGGAAAATCCTGCAAATGAGCAACATTTCAGGATTTAAATGGTCATTATATAAATGAAAATGAAGAAATAAATAACTAAAACGTGTAGGGCTGTACCATAGGCATAGGAAAAGAAATAAATGTGGAAAACCAGAAAATAGAGCAAAAAGAAGCGTGGAAAGAACTTCATTGATATTGGCGTCCGTACACTGCAATGAGCACAATAATAATTAGAAATGCATGAAAATTACATAGATTTAGGAATTGTACTGCAAATTTGAAGCTGAATGATTTTTCCTAAATTCCACAAATAGAATATAAAAGGCATTGCCAGTCTGTCTCCTAATATCTTAAAAAAGATGGTTTTACATAGCACAGGCACAATTATCATCAAAAGATAAATACACGAGGATTTCTACGGCAAAATATTTACCATACATTTAGACTTCAGAATACAAACCTGATTAATGTAAATAGTTCACTCAACCAGACCAGTATTAAGACCACAAAAGCCAACAGCTGATCGTCATAAAACTCAAACAGAAAAAACAAGATACCAATCATTATCTGCAGAATCATATACAAACTTTATCAGTGATGGAACGGTGAGATTATGCCATCAGAAATATAAAAATTAAAAATTTATGCTTGAAGGGACAACAAATGCATAAGAAACACCAGATCCATGAATTATAAAGCACAATCGGTATGTTTTAATTTTAAAAAACAAAAACAACATGAGCGTACACATACCGGCACAAAGACTAGTGATTCAATTACATGCACAAAAATTAATTGAAAAGTTGGAAGCCGGTGTCGGGCATGGTGTTGAAGCTGCACTGCAATAATTTACAAAAGGGACACACAGTTATCAAGTGAAGCACGCAAATAATAAAACGCGTTGCTAAGTATGATCCTAATTATGCAGCAAGCACTCTTTTTATAACCAACAGATGAATTTATTGGTCAACGAGGACTGCTAGGTGTTGAACAAGTTGGTTTTACCAAAAAAGGAAAAAAAGAAAAGAAAAAAGAAAAAAAAAAGAAAGAGTAAAGAAAATCCAATTCGTTTCTCATTAATGAATCTCTATGAAATAAGGTGAAAAAATTTAGTTAAAATCTCAAATCCTGAATTTGTTTGAATGGATGGATGAGGAACGGGACACAAACTGATGGCTCTAAACACCGTGTAGGGTTCAGGGTCCTCCCTTAGTTAAAGTAAATAGGCAAACCTGTAAACTTCAGCATACGAGTTTGTGTCTCTCTCAAAGTAAATGAAACTGACATTGTGGTTGTAAAGAACACAAACAGTGACATCATGAGCACACCACACTTGGTCACAAGGTAATCTGCGCCCAGAATGAAAGAAACCATAAACTGTGTTAAGTACAAATTGTACAGACTTGGAAATATATGTGTATATATATATATGCAGCACTCATGCTCTCTACGGTTCAGAACAAACATTATCAACTATAAGCGGAATAAAAGGTAGCCCACTGACCAGTAACTGTATCGAAACAAGAGTACATAGAAAGGAACAACATGGGATTCAGCACATACACTTTATCATCCTCGAACTTAATCTATATGGGCCCCATTTCACATTTATGGGTTAGCTACTTGGCCAAAAGTATAAGTGCAGATCAATCCAATAATTTTCATTACCAAAATTAGCATCAGCAGAGAAGAACAGAAAGTCTTCCACAAACAGACACTTAAAATAAAAGAATAAAGTCTAAACTTAAACATTAGTCTGTCAGTTGACTTTCATTTATGTAAAGAGTCGTGCAAAAAAAGTTGTCTTTCATTTGATGAACGATATTTCAGTAAGCGCACTCATTAGATTTAGAAAAATCACACATCAATACGAAGTTAAATACCCAACATACTACAATACGACTGTAGAATGTGTACCATAAGACAAATATCTGTGTTTCCGGCATTCTGTCATACAACACTTTGATACTCAAAGTAAATTCTGGGCTGACATGTTAGCAATACCAGAATGTAGAGGACAGCAAACCAGCTTAATTTACGCGAATACCCGTTAAGGTTGTTGGATTTACACCATAAATTCCCAACCACTTCAAAAGACAATATTCAGATTTCTTTTTTTCAGTACAAAATACTCTCAAGTTGCTGGTTAGAAGCATGAGGAAGTGGATGATAGAGATAAATGAAGGACCTTCACCATCCGCCACCAATCTAAAGAATATATGAACACTTCTCACCACGCCAGAGCAAAACTAATCCACCGCAACAGCTCGGTCTAAGGTTTTATCAACCAAAAGAGTTCATGTACGATGAGTTCACTAAGCAGAGTTGATGCAAAGTGAGACTGATAGCAGAAGTTTCAGATTTCGGTAATAAATTTATGCATGAGCAAACATCCAGCGAGACACATTTTGATCAATGCTTCTGATATTGAGTTTAGAGAAACACAAAGATGTGATTGCCAATTGCATATAGTAAACTCATTGAACAAAAAGCACCAGATGAATGCATATATAATGCGTCAAAGTTCACCAACCTCCAAATCTTGCAGGTCCTTCTGGTGGTTCTTGTGCATAACTTAGATTATAGAACTCCTTCGTTTGAAAGTTATAAAGATAACCTGCATGGTATAAATATATATATATATATATATATATCTCAGGCATACAAGAATTTCACTAAAATTAAACTAAAGTGCACTTTGCAGTTTGCAGCAAGACCCGTTTCTGTTAACATGCTGCACTAATCCGGTCCGTACAAGCTTTCAGAGACAATATAAGAGTCCATTTAAACATTAAAAAAGTAGAGAATAGGGAAATTGCCCTCTAGATATTAAAAAGAATAGAAGCATTTGTATCAATAAACACAGGAATAAAAACCATATCGAAATGCCAGATGCAGTGACAAAATACTATAAAGGTCAATCCACTAGTGATTAAAACTGGAAACAAAACATACTGTCGAAAAGAAAAGAGCAGACTTGTACTGCATTTCATGCGACACACTACACGTTCAATCAGTAGAACAATTAGTAGATAAAAAAGATGTATTATATGAAGGAAACTGGTTATTACCTTGACCAGGAGAACTCAACAGACTATTCATCAAAATAGTATCATAGCCAACAAATCTATTTATGAGGAGCTGTTGCCACCTGGTAATAGAATTAAACAATATATTCAGACAACATTTTACCAAACAACTTCAAATAGGCATATCCACCAAAATAATAAACTAAAAGAAGATAGAGTACATTTTAGCAAATAACTTCAAATAGGCATATCCACCAAAATTATAAACTAAAAGAAGATAGAATAAAGCTGAAAATTTGTCAATAGGTCATAAATACTAAAATCTAATGCACGATTTTTTTTTTCTCTTGGTGTGGGTGTGTTGTTTTGGGTGGGGGTTGGTGGTGGGGGTGGGGGTGTTGTTCTCCAGCAGTTGGACTTAATTTGATGTGAACCTGGAAAAGCCTCTTGTCCTCATGGAAAGGTGATGGGAACCAGGAAAATCAAAGAAAGAATGAGAAAGAGTATAAATTGATTCACGAAATTCCCCTTAGAAGAGTAGAATTACAACCTAAAACAATGACAGTGACTCAGGAGCCTGCCTCTCTCCCCAACTCATAATTAGCTTCCGAAGCAAGTACTACACAATTCTGTTTGAAACGATAGAATTCTATAAAAGACGAAATAAATTACAACCTAAAAAAAATGGAATTGGAGAACAATCTCTTTTTTTTTTTTATAAGAAACAATGGAATATTATAAAAGATGAAATAAAATTACATCAGAGGACAAGGGGTCCGGCCTAAAGAAAAACAAAATGGAATTTGGAGACCAATCTCTTTTTTTCTTTTTTTTTATAAGAAACAGTTTAAGTTTCAAAGAAGAACATATATAGACTCTATTCGGCTATTCTAAATAGGAAATACACAGGATAAACTTTTTGTAATAAAGAATACACACACACAGAGCATGCTCTTCCTCAGTTTGCATAGACAAGCCAATGAGGATCATGAATTTTGAACTCTGAAATCATATCCATGTCAGGATTGCAATTTACAACTGCAGTAACTAAGCATAAATCATGGGTACTAAGCAGAGCAACTGTCATTTCCAAAACCAAAACGAGAAGAAAGAAATCAGAATCTAATTGAAAATTATTACCTGTTCCCAAAGCATGAATGTCGGGCTGATATACTAACGTTAACAGTACGTATATTATGCTGAGACTTGGCGCTTTCAGGAAGCAAAAAATACCCCTGTTGGCAAGAGTGAGAGAAGAAGAAGAACACATTATCAAACTTAAAAGTTAACAGGATGAAGCAAAGAACAGATGTCATCCAAAGCGACTTTGGAAAATTAAAAAAGAGATGAAATGTAAAGCACCCAAAGATCACAAAAGCAGTTAAAGGAAAGGACAAGATAATTGGTCAGAACTCAGAAGCTAGACAATAAATAACTACCCCACAGGTGCAGCAAGAAGTAAATAGAAATTTGGAAAGGCTACCTTCTCATTAGTGTGTACATAGGTTTATTTAAAGCAAAAGAATCAATAACTACCGCACAGGTGCAGCAACAAGTAATTAGAGAATTGGAAAGGCTACCTTCTCCATAGTGTATAAATAGGTTGGTTCAAATGTTTTGCTTTGATTCTCAAGCAACTGCACTGAGATAGAAAGCAGCATGTAATATTCAACAACAGGATGAACAAAATCACTAAACAGAAAGAACAAAAGCAGTAAACATTGAAAAGATATAATAGTTAGCTCTCTTAAGTATGCTTTTGTATGAAAAGCAGATGTATCTATTGGTCCCTCCTGGCTTTGGTATACATTGCAAGCAGGCTAAGGTGGGCATTCCATAAAGGTCTATGCAAGAGAAGTTTCCTAACAGAATAGTTAATCCGCGTGTAATATTTTGAGTTGTTTCTTTCTAGAGGTATCTTGGTTTCCAAAATATTTGTGTTTACGTTTAGATAATTAATGTTGTGATTCTTTGTTTCTTAGAAAAGGAAAAGGTATTAACCACTAAGTCACACAGCAAGATGATAAAGGTATAAAAGATGAACAAGAAAAGATGGTCAATTACCTGCATACAAGTTAACCTTATCCAAATGAAGCATACGCAACCACTTTGGAACATCAAGATTTAAATGTATTCCAGCAATATTCTGCATTTGAAAATAAAAACTCAGCAAAGGAAATGTTGAACTACCATAAAGACATATATGCCATGATTTTATAAGATATGCATCAATAGAAAGTATGTCACTGAAAATAGGCAAGATCAAAAATGCATCTATAGCAAGATAAATATATATATATATAATACACATATAAATAAGACAAAATAAAAAGAATGAAAATTCGTAATATAAGACAGGATAACATGTGTTTACCAAGTTGATTAATCAAAGGTGAATTTATTTTTTCAGTTTTCTAGTAGATTATGTAGAATCTTGCTCACAAGATCGGTTCATACTAATTCTTTATCAGTGGTGGAATACTAGCAAACCAAATTTTTGTCTTGTTTGGCACATATCAATTGTGGTTTCTTTTCTTCTTTTTTTTTTTACAAGTAGTTGAGTTTCCAAACACTTAACACGAGGCAACTAGTTGACAGCAAAATATCAAACGCATCGCGTAACAGTTTGCACAAAGTCGCATGTAAAGATTAGAGAATCATTCTTCCAGCAAATCTGCATAAATAGATATGCCATAGCAAAGGACCACAGGCACCAGGAGCACGACCTGCCTCAAAAAGGAAAATGCAGATTTTAGACCATATATTTCACTTATGTCCAAAGACCGGAATCTATTAGCTTACCACCAAGCCTTGGATAAAGCTTTCAAAAGATGTAAAAGGAAAATGATCTTTTCATTTTTTCAATTGTTCTTAGATGTATTTTTAGTTGCTATTGTTCTTTTTGTCTTTTTTCTCTTGAGGATACCTTTTACTCTATACCTGTAATTGATTTTCATCAATAAAGGTGTTTTCCTTATTAAAAAAAGAACAAAAATAATAAAAATAAAAATAAAAAACTTACTAGCAAACCTCAATAGTACAGCTAAATTTCACCAATTAATTATTTAAAAAAAATCACCAATTAGATAAGATATATCATAGTGGAATGAGGAACGCAGATCCAGAATGCAGCACACAATTGACATAATTTTCCATATTGTTATACACGTATCATTTGAAGTTAAGACTTTACGATTGCAAAATTCCTCCAAAAATAAATAGTTGACTCAAGTACAAAACTAGAGCCCTCACCGAACCCTACAATGTGAAAGAAGCAGGAAACTCGTGAATTTAACTAGGTACTTAGCCCTGAGGAAGGAAATCCAAACCATATTTGAGAAAATGACAGGCCTAACCACTAGTCAGTTCTCAAGTAGCTACAGCTACATGCATGTTTGGTGCACTGAGAATGATAGTGCCAATACGAGTACCTGAATTCAACAAAGCCATAGGCCTAGCAATACCAGGTAAAAATACTCTACCAACTAACCCAATGACTTCAAGGTCTATTGTTTGCGTGAAAAAAGAGAGAGCAAAAAAAAAAAAAAAAGAATTACAAGTATGTATACATAATTGGTAAGAGTATAACTGTCTCAACCTACTTACCCACAGCTTTGAGAAACTTCCAATGATTTGCATTAGATGCCTCCAAACGAATGATATTCGTCTATACCATTTTTTGCCAAAGTGAACAAGTGCTGCTTTAAAAGTCTCCCTAGCTGATAAAGGAAAACTACTCCGCGGTTCCTCTTTATCAACTTTTGAAACTATACCATCAATTTTTGGCTTAGAGACTTGGATATTGGTAGAGCTGTCAGCTTGATGTTCCAGAAGTTCATTATCAGACTTCCAAAACTTCAGTGTCAATTTGCCCCTCCTTGTACTGGAAGCAATCCAACTCAACCAAATTTTTTCAGCTGAAGATGTTAATCCATCCCCATCTACGCTTACAACCTCTAATTTATCTGATACAGGTTTTATGTCAGGAATATCTGTCCCAGTAGGTTCTGCCGCATCACGTGACCATAATCCAGCACTAGTTATCTAGACAAACAAAAATGTTTAGTGTATGATAAGGAAACAGCCAACCTGAGAAAGAAACTCAATGCACTAGTAAAAGAAAGCATAAAGAAAGAGAATAGAACAGTATAAAAACCAAGACTAAGAATCAAATATGCTGCCTCAAAGGTTTACTATTATCTTTTTATAAGAAACATAAAAGGTTCGCGAATTTTCTGTCTCAAAGTTACTTACGACGTAAACAGAATATAACCTATATTTTGTGAAGAATCTAGCTTCCTGCTAATAACATTAATTTCCTTATTTAAGAATAACGAGACAGCCTACAACCAAAGGTAGACACTAAAATTTTCTAACTCAACTTCCAGTAACTGTGGGGCATTGCAGGCCACAAGAAACATTCCTTCTAAGCTTTCGTTCACGAGGAGTGTAGGACTAATAAAAAGATTTAGGTCCCAAGAACAGAACCAATGATGTCATAATCTTCAATATGCAGTAAGGACTGGAGATCCCAAAAAATAAACGAACAATTAAATAAATAAACTGAAATTTAAGACCCTGAAATATGAAGGCGATAGGATACCTTAATTTGGATAAGTTGAGCTTCTGTTGTCCGAACTCCAGACAGCTCACTTGAACAGCCAGGCTTCAAATGCAAAAAACTAAGTTAATATAAGGTAAAGAAGATATAGATATATATATATATTAAAAAAAAATTGTTATGTTTACATACAAACCCAAAGACATATACATATAGTTAACTTATCCAGCAGGAAGGAGATATATTCAATTGAGGGTTCTTCCTTTGAACCCTATCACAAGTATTTAACTTTTTATGAAAAAACGCCAACAAAAAACCTTTATCCTAGCAGGAAACATGATTTCCTAATGGCTCAAAAGTAGAGACTTCCCCATCATGAACATGGGAAAGAAAGAAAGGTTTAAAAGAAAAGCCAACAAGTTGCAACACCATAACCTATTATCAAAAGCTGATTGCCTTTGAGAAAAAGAGCTCAAGATCAAGAGTAGATAATTCAAATTTTTCACGACTCTTATCATTTATATTTCTTATAAAACCAAAATTCCAATTGAGCTTATTGGACTAGGAAAAGGAATAAGTGATACTTACGGAAGCAGAATGCTTGTCAGATCTCAACAAACAAGGGAAGGTAAGAGCCAAAGATAGCCCCCCACACCACACACCCTTCCAAAATAGATTAATATTTCTCATACCAACATCCCACTTGACTTTCTGAAGAAATACACCCAATCCATGAGATATAAGCTTCCATGGATTCCTAAGAGCTGCTAGTAACAGTGTTTGAATCTCAACGATTAGGATGTAGCCCATACTTACTCTTGATGACCATTTCCTTAAGAATTTCAGAATAGAGGTACTATTCCTAACATTTTCCAACTTGACATCCAGAAGCAACAAAGTATCATCCACAAGCAAATTGCAAGTGAGAAACATAGACGTCTTCACGGCCCACCTTAGAGCCTTCCACTAATCCATTCTATACTGCTTATCCATGAGTCTCTCTAACACGTCTACTAGTTTGGTGAACAAAAAAGGAGACGAAGGTCTCCCCATCTTAAACCCTTCATCGCTCCAAATCATCCTCTAGGTCTTCCATTGACCATTCATCCACTTTCTCCATCTAATCCCAAACCCCTATATCTCCAAAATGTAATCTAAGAAACTCCAATTAACATGATCATACGCCTTCTCAAAATCAATCTTAAAAACCAACCCTTTCTTTATATAAACCCTATACTCTTCAACCGCTTCACTAGCACCATATCTAAAATCTATCTAACCCTTTACAAAGACTCCTTGAGACAAAGAAATTGCGTCACTTAACACCTCCTTCAACCTATTCCCCAAGTTGCGAATGTTATCTTTGGTTTACCTACTTTGGTTCTATTTCCCTCTCTAGTGATTCTATTTCTTTCCTTGGTTTTCTCTCTTCTATCTCGATTCTCTTGTTTTATATGGGTCCTGCATCACATTATGTTTTGAAAAAGAAACGAAATTCTCTTATTGAGGATTAAAAATTATGTACAACAAAAAGTAGCATGAGCTACCCTCACAAAACAAAGAAAAATCTATCACATAAATGGGGCTCCCTAATAAAATCAGAGAAAAGTAAGTTGTTGAACTCCTTTTCTCCATTAATCCATAAAGCTACCTAAAATTTGTCATATGCCAAATAACAACACTCAATTCCTCAAGGTCTGCAAAAGTTTCTCTCCAACCAAACCCCTCAAGGTCTGCAAAAGTTCTCGAATTTCCACACAAATTTGCTCCTATTCCCAAAGCCAAACCAAACAGTTGACTCACACAACTCTTTATAGCTCGAAATCCCCATGTCCCCCAAGAATAAACACCAGACATTAAAAGCAAAAGGGCACTGCAAAAACAGATGATTCACAGATTTATTGCTCACTTGGACAAAGACTCGCAGTTTTGACATTGTAATTATCATCAAAGACTTGCAATATTGACAACCAAATTTTTTAGTACTACTAGCAGACATCGAAGACAGTGTGAGAACAAGACCAGTGCCAAAACAATGAATCCAAAAAAGTTACTTGAAATGAATATGTAGTAGTATCAAATTACCATTGTTTTCACATTTCACAGTGCTTTCACCAGCTACATATTTGACAAATTCGTCACTAAATTCTTCACAGAATTTTTGAATTGCTATTTAGCAAAACTTATCATTTCAGACTCAGAGTTCATACATTTATTACCTGTAAATTTAGTCAAATTCAGGAATTGACACCTAAACAATCACATAGATGCCCTCAAAAAATAACTAACATGATCAGAACTAATAACAAGTAAATTTCGTCAAATTCAGGAATTCCGCACCCGAATTTCAATCCAAAAACCCTAAAACAATCAAATAATTGCAAAAAAAAAAAACAAAAAACAAAAAACAAAGACAAGGAAATTAAATTGACATTGAAGACGCTTACCTGTTGAACGTAATTGGCGTGCATAACAACAAGAATACAGAACAAGGTGATGGCAATGAAAAGGCACAGATACTCCAGAGCAGCTCTCACTTTGGGCGTGAGCATCTGCGAGACCCGCTCTTGAACTCGGATAAACGTCTGCTCCGGATCCATCTCCTTCTACAGGTTCATGAGTCAAACTGCAACGGAATTTGGGAGACAAAAGGATTTTCCCGAGAAAGTGATGGAAAATCAGATTACTTTCCTGGCCGTCGGTTGATCAGGGTTTCGCTTTCCTCGTGTTTGATCTCTGTCGGTCTTTTTCTTATTTTTCTTATTTTCTATTTTATAATTGGCATGAACTTCACGTTTTTAAAACGGTCAATATCGAGGTAAAAATAAAGAAATGAATCATTAATAGGAAAAAGTTGTATGATTCAATTTACGCGTGCAAACAAATTAGACTAGTGATTTGTGTGTATTATGTAGCCACTCATCTTTATTTACTAGTCACGTATTAAAGACACTTAAAAAATATATTATTTATTAAATAATAAAAATTTTATTTATACAATTATTTAAAAAATTTTGAATTTATTTTAAAAAAATATGTATAAAAATAAAAATTAATAAAAAAAATTAAACAAAAACACATTTGAAAAAAAAATTTTTAACCAACTAAAAATAAAATAAGAAGACATGTGAAAAAAATTACTCTCATAAGAGGAAGTGAGGAATAATATATTTTTAAAACCACATAAAAAAGTTAAAATGTAAAAAAAAATTATAAAAGATAAGATAATAAAAGTAAAAAAAAAAAGAAAAAGAAAAAAACTAAGGGGATAGGCTGTCCATAAATAAAATTTTTTGACTTTTTTATGTATTGTTATATTTGATTAATATACATGTACATTCATAAGTGAAAAGAAAAAAGAAAATATTTTTTTTTATCATTTCAGTGCCTTGTGTTTCATCATAATATCACATAGGTACTTTATTGTGTGGAAAATATTAAAAATATATTTGTTTTTTAAACGTATCATTCTAATATCTCGAACTCTCTTTTTTTTTGGGTGATATAAATATCTAATTTGCCCTTTGAATTATAAACTGCAAATTAATTACATAACAAACAATAAAAAATAAATAAATAAAAGCGAAAATAAAGGTGGGGCATTGGAAATTTGAACGGCACAACAACAAGAGTAATAATATTAACACTAATTCGGCATTGGAAATTACTACCTTTTTTTGTCTTTTGGTGACTTTGATGGGTGTAGTGTTATTATTGAAAGTGTACATCATTACAGGCCAATTAGTTGTAATGTAAGGACACGTTTATTTTCTGTATTTATTTCTTATTCTGAATTATGATTCATGATTTTTTATAATTTTTTTCTCTCACAAAAAATACACGTAAAATAATAATGATTCTGAATATATAAACTAAACGTCCAAAATTTTGAGAAAGAATTGATAGATTAGCAAGGAATTCTCACTCTTACATGTTGAAGAGAAGCTTTGGAATTCAAACACAAAAAAAAAAAAAAAGTAGACCTACCTCACATCACAAGTAATAAAAGTCTGAAAAAGAAAAAATAATAATAATTCAAGGGCCATTTAAATTTGTTGAGTTTAGAAACCATTTAAGTGGATCTTAATCAGATATTTATCTAACTAGCATGGGAAATTGTGGTAGGCACTTTTGTGGTTTAGGTTTTACTTTTCCTTTGTTATTGAGTAAGCTCTAGCAATCACACATGCGGAACTACAAAGAGAATAAGGTGGAGTTTCTTCTCATAGAATCATAAAAATATAACTACTAATAGTTAATTTTTCTAGCCGTTTTCAGACGTTAAATTTTTATCAAAAATTATTTATTTTGTATATTTTTTTCAATCTCGTTTGATTTTGATCAGGTCCAACAGTTAAAAAACCGGTCCTATCAATAAGACGGCCTACCGGAGACGAAAATTGGTGAACTCGCCCTTTAAATGCATTGTTATGAGATTTTTATCATTTATTCTTGATTAATACCCTTTTAACTATTATGATTATTTGATTAAAGGATAATCAAGTGTAAGGAATAAAAATTTAAGACCAATGCATTCTAAGTGGTATTTGTCTCTTCTTTCTTTTATAGAACTTTACTACCCCTCTCCTCAAAGTTTTTTAGATTCTAACCCAAAACATTGTTCACAAACCTAACTCAAAGGCTCTCATTAACCATTTTCACTCGCATTTAAAAACTCACAGTTCTAATAATGTAACCAAACATTAATTCAAACTTTATTTATTGTTTAGACATTACACTACCAAACGCCAATTTGAACTAAAAAACTCACATATATCTAAGGCCCAGTTTGAAATTATTGTGCTTTTAAAATAATTGTTGTCAACTGTGTTGAATTAATAATTAGCTGTAATAAGAAGCAACTCAGTGTTTGATAAATTTAATTTTGAAAGTACTGTCATATTTAAAAGTCATATTGAATTATTTGATAAATGGCAATTCTAAATTGTTGTAGACTTGTAGAATGACTAAAATAGACAACGAGACGAGTAGCTTTTTAATTATACAATTAATAACTAAATTTTTTTCTAGATTTATGATTTTTACAAAATTAAATGCTTTTTAATTGTATTTTTTTAGGTTTTCTACAATAATAAAAATAAAAATGAATAGTCTATTATTCTAATTATTTCAGTTAAATTCATCGTTTAACTAAAACGTAAACCCCAAATAACAGGTGAAGTAAAGAACAATAAGAATAATAGTATAAACTTAAATCGTCATTTAATACTGATATTGAAGAGTAACACAAAAACGAATAAGAATAATAGTATAAACTTAAATCGTCATTTAATACTGATATTGAAGAGTAACACAAAAACGAATAAGAATAATAGTATAAACTTAAATCATCATTTAATACTGATATTGAAGAATAACACAAAAACGAATAATTTTAGCGTTTTCATCAGCTATTAACAAAACTTTTATTAGTTCTAGTGTTTCTCTCTCTTCTATAATAATTTCCACTATTCTACACATAGAGCTTTAATAGATAAGAAAAGGGGGTTAAAAAACCAAGAAAAAGAAAATAAGCCGTCTCGTTCAGTTCATAAATTTGAGCTAAAACATGATTTTATGCAAGAGTTTTTCACTGTAGTAAAATTAAAACTGAAAACTTAAATTAGTAAAATAAACGAGACCGACGCTGGTGAAGTAAAGGGCGTTACATCGAGTATTATGATTATATTTTAATGGTAACGTTAGAAAGTGGACGTTTAATTGATGGATTCAGAATCATGCTTCAGAACTATTCTCAATTTATGTGTGCTTTTTGTGAGAAAAAACACTGTAACAAGCTACGAATTATGATTCAAACCATGACACGAATCGTTGAACGAAACTTTTTATGACGGAGATGCACGGCTTCTTTTGTAAGCTGAAACCAAAAGCTCCTCCAGAGGTGCTTCTCACTTCTGATGCTTCAAGCATCAACTTTTCAATGGGGTTTGTGCATTTACAAAACACTTTTTTCATCAAAACTTGTGTAAGATTTAAGACTCGTTTAGTTTGGTAATTCGAGTTTTTAATTTAAGTTGATATGTGAATTTATATATGAGCTTTTTATTGTAGCAATAAAATTAAAAATGACTGTTTCTGAAAACTTTTTACTGTAATAAAATTTAAATTCTAAACTTAAATAAACTTAAATCAATAAGATGAACGAGATCTTACTTTTCAAAACATTCACAGCAACCCAAACGGGATCTAAGTTCAAACCACACAATTCGACAGGCGAAGCAAATGGGGCCATATTAGAACCAGTAAGTTGACAAATAAAGGTTCAGACCCAGCGAAAATCAGATAACACACCTTAACAATACAACACGCGTTTTCGGAAATGGTTCGGAAATAGCGTTTATTTTACGGTTAATGAGGAAACTAAAACAAACGAAAAAAACCGTTTTTAAATTTTGTCAAGGAATTAATTCTTTTCCCATCTCCGTTTTCTAAGACACATACCAAATGAATAATTTTGTAAACAAAATCAATACACAAACACAATCCCAATTCTTTTCTTAAATCAGTCTATCTAGAAATAGTTATTGATTCTAAAAAATAATAATAATAAAAAATAATAATAATCTACCTGGAAATACAACAAAACACAATTTCAGAAATGATTCCAAACACTATTCTCAAAAATGCTCACTTCTAACTTCAAACCCAAAGCAAAACCATTTCAAAAGGCTACCAAGGGGGCCCTAAAATTTCTTTATTCTCTGTTTCTAATTTGCTTGGACACCAAAATGGCTCTTGCCTCTTAGCAGCAGTGGGGTTTTAAGCAAAAAAGGATTGCCGTAGTGCCACAAAATTAGAATATGCCAACTACCACTCACCAAAATCATAAGCATCTCCAAGTATCCAAAACTAATTAAACGCCTCATTTCAATTGAAAACTACTACGGGCAGAACACAGATCACGATGCATTTGGATTAAGGTTAGAGTGACAACATTTTCTTTTATGAAAGACAGTCTCCGCTGCTTCGGCTTTCCACAGTCTAACTAACACATGTACGCAGAAACATACCAAAGCCTAGATTCCATGAAGCAGGAATGTCCCACTAGAATTCCTGCTTGCTCTTGCTCCTTTTCATCTTTGCCTTAAATCTTGATTTTGCCATGAGTGTCTGTACTGTATTTACAAAGTTTCCGACGGCCATTAGAACCAAAAGGATCCCGCAAAAAATCACCTGCCAAAATTAGTTTTCCAGGTTTGATACTCTTCCACTGCATATACGGCAAGGAGTATGGATAAACTTAATAACTTGAAATAGAATAAACATTACCTGCCATTCAGAAACAACCCCATCCAGTGCAGTCCTGAGCAATAGCAGTCCAACGTATGCCTCAAAAGCCTAGGGCAAAAAGGAGAAAAACAAATAAAAGCTATCAATATGTCGGTCCATTACTAACTTCAAGAATTATACAGACAATCCAGTCTTATTTAGCTTCAGAGCCAAAAAAAGAAAAAAAACAAAAACAAAAACAAAAAAAAAAACACTAATTCTTGCGTAAAGTTTCCCCAAAAAATACAACAGCAACAACCGCAGGTACAAAGCATCATGTAAGCAATTATAAGAAACTATTAACGGCTTTCATTAAGATTTCATCAGCATTTTCAGCTGACCTGAATTAGAAGTTCAAACAAAACGTTAGTACGAGCAATATACAGGCAATGCAATATACTGAAACTTAAACTGACGCATTTTTTCTATGCATAAGAACATCAAAAGATAGCACGGGCACGGTTATTCTGCCAAACCAATCAAGTTAAAATATCACATATTTAATATCAAAATAATACACGCTCAACAAGAAAAAGAAAGGCATAATAGTGCACTTAAGGCTTAAAGAGAACCACCGTCAACTCAGATTTTGCTTGCCCAGTATCAAATAGCAGTCATCAGTAACTTCAGAGAACGTCAATTACCAGGCTATATTACTTCATCTTTAAAGATTTAACAAGAGATGATCAAGATGTTGTCTAATCACCTGCAAAATAAATAAGATAGGACACAGCACCCACAACTGACCAATTACACCAGCAGTTTCTCCCCAGACAACATCCATTCTCTTAGCCTGAAAATAACATATATGAATTAATTACTAAATGAAATTGGCCCACATTCTTTATTCTCTTCAAATTAACCATAAATCTTAATATTTACAGAAAGATTACACTGGGTCACAAATAAAGGTAGGTAAGCAGGTAGGTCTTCAAGGATAAATGCTAATATTACGTGTTAAGCACTCTATAACTTTAATTACTTTACAAATATATTATATTCTAATCCAAAAAATGATAATTTATTGGTTTATGCGTACAGCAACTTAGTAAGCACGGATATCTTAGAATTACCTTTCCCAATGCAATACGAGTATAGAGTCTCTGGCGTTGATATCTATTTTGTAAAAGCATAGAAATTCCTTGCATCAAAGCCCATTGTAGGAAAAGATGGACTCCTCTCTGCACAAGATTAAACTTATATAAGCAGATGCAAACATATATTATTTACCCTGTAAATTTGTAATGAAACAAAAGTTACCTGTTTCTGAGAACAATTAGGCTCCCCCTGAATCTCCCATGTGAGACTAACAAGGGCCATGGCCATGGCACAATAATGATGGTATATCCACCTGCAAAACCGTGCTCCAGTACGTCATAGAGACAATCCGAATAAGCTAACGGATGAATAAACGGTCCGTTGACAAAATATCACCTTTTACAAGTAGAACTTTTTAAGAATAAGCATAAGAGGTTACTTGCACAACAAAAATTACTACTGATGCAAACTAATATATTTCAAATTGACAAACCACAAAAGATTATAGTTCCAAATGAGTTAAGAAAATATAAGAAGAACTTAAAATGCAAGTTACGAAGTCAATTTGACATCGTTATATCTATCTTGTGCCTTTTTTCTTGCCTCGTTTGCATTTTTTTTTATGCAGATTAGGATTAGAAAGTGCAGATTAACTTATTTATTCACTGCAGTTTGGCCACTTTGTGGTATAAATTTTTTAAACCGTTTAAGCAAAGCTGGGTTGTTACTCAAAGTGTACTGCCTTTTGCTAGTTTGTGGACTATTTGGCTTGAGAGAACTCTCAGATTTTTAGGATAAGTGCCAGCACGCACTTTTTCTTCGCGATAGTCGGGTTCGGGCGGCCTTCATTGTGGGCTTCTTAATCTAAAGCTTTCGGAGATGTCCAGAATAGGCAAACCCTTACCACACACTTCCAAAGCCAATCCCACCATTGGTAAGTAATGATCTTCAGTATTTTAGACAACGGGGAATGAGTGTCAAAAGAAAGTCCCATGGAATTTTATCAATAATTTGTGTGAGAGATAAAAATAATAGGTTATGTCACTGAAAGGTGTAATGTTGCAAGCAAGATAAATTGAACAAAGATGTAAATTGCTGAACTAATTCTTTTCCATTTTAGTCATCTTCATATGATCTTAGTTTAGGTTCAAACTTCAAATTAGGCCTTTGGAAAAGTTATTACTCAAACCAAGCAATGATATATGCTAAAAAAATTCCTAGTTCTCCCACAAGCCCTTAAGTTCTAAGAGCATGTTTAGTACTAACTCAAGCAATAAATCAATATGCTTTTACCATGGGCGGATGTCACTTCCATTAGCTCTTAGTATGTTTTCACGCAATGCCAGACCCGTGTATAGGAACAACAACCATGCCTGACAAGTGATCAAGCATGCACTAACTGTTAACTAATATAAGAATCGAGTATTAAATTGGAAATTAGCAACATGACCAAGATTTACAATTCAATATACTATCAGTTTGTACCTGGTACAGCTGAACTGGGAATGCTGGCAGGCATCCATTCCAAATCCAAGATCTTAGAATAAGCAGAATTGATGGGAAAAGAAGAAACAGAAGGGCGGTTCTATCCTGCGCAACGAGATAATATGGTGATTAAATTTTCGCAGGCTAATGGATAGGACACTGTCACACTGATCTAACAAGAAATTGAATGACAATCACTGATGCACGAAACTTAGCAGAAGTAGTGATAGAGAGAGTACCGAACTGTCCAACTCTTGGTTTCACAAGCTCAAATGGGTCATCAAAACAATTGACTCCCCCTCATCAGTTGCTAACCTCTCTATTTATACTTACTAATATATGGTCTAACAAGCTCTAACTGACTCATAACATAACTACTAACCAACTTATAACTCTGCTAACCAACCAACTAAGCCGAATCATAATACATCGGCATTACCACTATCGTACACATGTGCTTCTAAACCACAAAAGTATATCTGATTACAAGCAAAGAATTCCACCCATTCTCACTATCGTATTTCATGAACTAAAATGGAACAATGCTAGCAACACCAGCGATTTCTGACACCACACACTAATAGAGTGCGGGTCCCACATGATGGGCATCCACTGCTAGCCTCAGATATTTCTCAACCCAATGCAATCCAATGCCACACAAAAAAAAAAAAAAAGAAAAAAAAAAACCCAAATCCGGTGACAAAATGGGAAAGAGAAGGGGCGTAAAAGAACTAAAGGGAAAGTTGCATGTTGAAGATTCGAAAACAAAAGAACAATTGAGAGAATTGACACGCAGAATTGAATAAGAACAAAAGAAATTCATACCCTATAACTGTTGTACTCCTCTTTAACCTTGAGCTGGATGTCTTTGCGAGCGGCACGCACATTAATCGGACCCAGAAACATCCTCAGAAACCGACCTAATGAGTCACCATCAAAATCAAACCAGATAGAGAGAGAAAGAAAGAAAAATCTAGAGAGAGAGAGAGAGAGATGAAAAGGTAAAGGATGCTAACCCTGGGGTTTGACAGGAAGAAAGGAAGCGGCGTCTCCGTCGGTGAGAATACATCTGGCTCTCTGCAAATCCTCGTCGAGCTTCGGATCCAACAGATTGGATTTGTCGGAGTGGAGGAGGGATCTGAGGCGGCGGAGCGAGGAATCGAGCGACTGGGCGCGGCTGCGGAGGGATTGCTCCTCGGAGGTCGTGCCGTTGAGGAACGACGAAGCCGCCTCCTGAAGCTCCTTCGCTTGCTCCACCGCCTTCCCAATTTCTTCTTCTATTTCTTCACTCCAATTATCAGAATTCCTATTGATGTTTTCGCCCATTTCTTGAATTCGCCTATTTCTTCCTCTTCCTCTTCTTCTTCTTCTTCTTCTTCTTCTTCTTCTTCTTCTTCTTTTATGTTGTCGTTAATATTCTTAACAGTGCCTCTCGAAACACCTGAAACAGGATAGCGAATTCCTTATTCCCTCTTTTTGTGGAAAATTAATTGCGTAAATATACATTCTAATTTTTTTTTCTCTCTCTCAATTTGTGTAATTATATTCCACTTCCTCCACTCCCATAATTTTCTAAAAGAAAAAAATGAAACAAAAAGAAAAAAATTTCTAAATAATATTTTAAAGATTTGAAAAAAAGAGTGCGTGCTTCATTCTAAAATAATTTTATTTTTTTTATAAAAATAAAAATAAAAATGTTTTTAATCTCATATATAAATTATTTTTTAAAATGTGTTTAATAGTTTTATTAAGAGATTATTTTCAGTATAAAAAAACTCATTAATGTCTCTCTCTACTCAAGAGAAAAGAAAACGAAAACAAAAAATGAAAAATAATTAAAAATTATTTTTTATTTCTCTCTCTTTTTACACTAAACTAAAAAGTCATTTTCATTTTCAGTTTTATTTTTAATTGTGTCAAACACAATTTTAAAATTATTTTTAACTTTTCTTTCTCAAAAAAATATGAAAAATAAAATAAGAACAATTCCAAACACGGTAAAAAAAATTTTACAACATCATAAATTTATGTTATTTATTTTAATGTCGATAAAATTTATACATTTTTAGAAATAAATTTATACTTCCTCTGTCCCCCGTCCCTTTCCGATTCAGGAGACAATATAAACCATCATACTCGTCTCTATCCTCATTTAATAACTCTTATACCCACTCTATTCGAGGTGGGTACTCACAAATAAAATGCACATACCTAATTGTATTTCATCTATTGTAAAAGCTGAAATTGCTATTACTTAATGTATATTTTTTTATTTTTTATGTATATTTTTTATAATATCTAATATTACCTTTTCATACTCGATTCTCATTTTAACATTAATTTAATTTATAAAGTAATCTAATAAAGATTTAAAATACGTATGATTTTATAGATTTTTATTTTCATAATGCCTGATGTTACTTTTTTACATCCAATTCTCGTTTTAATATTAATTTGATTTATAAAATAATATAATTTTTTTTTCAAATTACTAAAATAGAAAAAATAATAATGAAGTTCAATGAGAATAAATTACACGAACTTAACACAAACTAAAACCAAATTTACAAGCAAGAACAACGAATCAAAGTGGAAGCATTGGAATTGTGTGACAGGACAAACTATCATTCATAATACATTGTACAAAATCTAGTAATAACAAACACTCACATATAATATAATATACGTGTAGATGAGTTTTTAATGATTACATTTTTTTAGTGGTTATCATTGAAATGACGTGACGTGATAATAATTTAATTTTATTAATTGTCATAATTTTTTTTCGTTAACTTTCTAACTTGTCTTATACTAAAGAAAGACTAGTTTGAGTAAAATAAAAAAATTACGGATTAATTACAAAAATTATCCCTGAATTATGTCTCTTCTAACACTTTATCCTCTGATCTTTAAACATAACATCCGTTCCCTTTAAACAATAAAACGGTAACAAAAATGTCCCCTCCGTTGAGAAATTTAACAATCTTTGACACGTATCATATAAATAACAGTTGTTTTTAAATAATTTAGATTTCAATTACTATTTTAATCACACACCCTAATTTTTTTAGTCTAATTTAGATACAATATAATTAAATAAATAAATCTTCCTCACTCCTAATGACAAAATTAATAACGGATATTTCATAACTAAAAGTCCAAATTTAAATTCATTTTAAATTCTTATTAAATTTTAAACCGTAGAGTTACTAAAATACTCATAAAATAATTAATTAAACGTCAACTTCTATTAAAAATTTAACGGAGAAGACAATTTTTTTAATATTTTATTGTTCAGGAGAAACAGATGTTACGCTTTAAGATCTCGTTCATTTCACCTATTTGAGTTTAGAATTTGAGTTTTGTTACAGTAAAAAACTTTCAGAAATAGTCACATTTAACTTTTTAGTTACAGTAAAAAGCTTTCACATAAAGTCGCATTTCAACTCGAATAGTGAACTAAATGGGCTCTAAATATTAAAGAGTAAAGTGTTATACAGGTTATAGTTCGAAAAAAAAAATTTATAATCAATCCAAAAACTAAAGAATGGTTAAATATGTAATAGGAGGTTTCAATATTATGACATGTCACCTCTTTAGTCTTGCTTCTGTTGTATAACTGTATTCAATATGAATTACCCATCAACCTACTTTCCTAATCAAAACTTTCAATCAGACCCATCAAGGCTAAGTACCAAACTTGCATTCCCTAATAAATTACACACGCATGTCGACCTGTTTTAATAGTCAGAAACTAACACTACCAGTAGGATTTACTTATAAGAGAAACTCCATTTTTTTCTTTTTCACTTTTTCTCTTATCTTTCTTTCTTTTTTTTGTTTAAATGTCTTGTTTTTTTAATTTATTTTGTGAATTTTTTTACAATTTAATTTTTTACATGTGTTTTTTTAAATATATTTTTATGCAATTTATTTCTATAAAAGTGATTTTTAATGCATTTATATATATTTTTTGTCCATAGTTAAAATAATTTTTTCTAAATGTCTAAAAGATTATTCCATAACCGGCTCTGGTGGTCGAATCAAGGACGATTGGCTTGTATATCCCTATTTAATTATTTTTCTTATAAAGTCTATTGTATTAAAAGTTACCTTTACACATTTCTTTTTCTACAGTGCTCATAGAACACTTAATATGCCATGTGGCAGCGCCTCTTTTTTTTTCTTTTTTATCTTTATTTTTTAATTTTATGTTTTACGTGTGTTTTTTTCTTTTCTAATTTTCTTTGTTTTATTTTATTTTATCGAGTACTCTTTTATAGTTTAATTTTTTTAAGACTATTTATACATCTAATTTAACATCTAAAATATATAGCTAAGTGGAATTGACTCCTAAAGAAACTAAGACACGTGTTGGCTCCTCCTCCTCCTTCTTTTCGTCTCTTTTTTTTTCTTTTTTCTTTTTATTTTTTTATTCTTTTATTTTGCCTATTATCTTTTTTGTTTTTACCTTTAATATTCTTTAACAGTTTTTTTTTTTTACAATATCATTCTTTGAAATATATTTGCTTACTTTTTTAATTAATATAATTCATTTCAAATATGTACTTGCTTTCTTCTTTTTTTTTTTTTAAGTCAAAAACTCATATCTAACTTTAGTTTTTTTTTTTTTTTCATTTTTTAACTATTCCTCTTTTCCTCTTTTTCTTTTTTAACTTTCTTTTTGTAATTTTTTCTTCTTTTCTTTTGCTTATTTTCTTTTTTTCCCTTAATATTCTTTGACAATTCATTTTTCTACACAATATCTTCCTTTGAAATACTTTTTTTACCTCACGTTCTTTTAATCAAAATAATTCCTCTCCCTACTTAAGTTTTTTTTAATAAAAAAAATCTTTATAATTTCAATTCTTTTTCATTATGATTTTTTAAATTATCTTTTTTTCTCTTGCTCTAATTAATGGGCTTAACTTCTAAGAAGATTATGCGTTTTAATGCGAGATCTAACTTTTAGAGTCATTCTCCAAGTTCATAACTTATGAACATAAATCTTAGAGAACCACCTATAAAAAGTCTGATAAGATCTAAGGCTAATTCCAACATTGAAAGCATTAACATGATTATAACGTGCAAACTCCTTATTTATATATAAATATAAGGATAGTCTCCCCCACTGTCAAAATAATTATGAAAGCCAATATATATATATATATATATATGAACGCCTTCCTCCAAGCATAGATGTACAATTTATCTACAAAAGTAACTTTATGAGCAAAATAGTTTAAGTTGAAGTTACACGTGTGAATGTTATCCATTGTTGTTTTTTTTCACGAAAAATTGTATTCCAAATAAGGAAATACATACACTGATATTGATGCAAATAACATTGTATTAAATAAAGAAGTTTATACCCCGTTTTTTTCGCTGATTCGAGTTTAAAATTTAAGTTTTACTACAGTAAAAAGTTCTCAGAAATAGTCACATCTAATTTTTTTGTTACAGTAAAAAGTTCTCACATAACATCACATCTCAACTCGAATTAAAAACTCGAATTAACGAACCGAACGGGCCTCAACCACAAATTAGTTCCACCATTAAGTTCTGATAAAATGTATAAGAGGATCAAATATGCATCTAATTCCAGTAATGAAAATTGAAAAGGCGTAACAACAATTGAGCACTTACATGGCTCTTTTAATAATATCTTTATGATTGATAGAAAACTCCGATCGATAAATACAAGAGACCCGAAACACAAAAATCACTCAAAACACTGCAAAAGAGCGAAGGTGGCCACAACAACAACTAACAGCACAATTATAACAAAAATTTGTAACAATGCAACAATGCTAAACTGATTCTTTGTAATTCATAGAAGTTTCTAAGGATGGATCCTCGCTTAGGACCAACTCCCATGGATAGCCACATTTGTAATCTTTTCTTGACTTATAAATGACCCGTTTGGGAGTATTTTTAAAATGGTTTTATTTGTGTATGGAAATGAGAATTGTTTAATAATTGTGCGAGGACCATTTCTTAAATTGTGTACTGTTATAATTTAATGCACTAGTAATATGATAATAACTCATATATCATTAATTTATGCCTATAATAGTAATTAATTTATATGTTTAATAAATGATAAATTAATGGTAATTATCATTAGCATGTTAGTAATTTATTAGTATACTATTTACCAATAATTAATATTAGTAATTAATTACTATATTGGTAAAAACTATTATATTTAATTGATAATTTTACTGTGTTAATGTTTACTCAAAACAATAATCATTTATATAATTGCTTATTAATAATTATTTAATTATTCGTATGTAGTATCTTCAATATTAGTAATTAATCTTATTTAATCATTAATTACTCATTATTAATTATTCATAGTTCGTTGTTATTAATTAATATACTACAAAATTAATAATTAGTACTTAATATTTAGTTATCGGTTTTCATTATTGATTGTTACTATTTACTTATTTATTGGTAATTAATAATTAATATGTTATATAACTAGTAATTATTGATTGTTTAATATCACGTTGTTCATAAGTCCTAAGAAATGAAAACGAAAGGAAAAATAACTTTG